TCTTACCATTTTGTGTTTAGTATTTCCCTCAGCATCCATCCTATAACTACCTACTTCAATTAATTTGTTAGGATTGGCTTTGGATACTTCAACTTGTAATTCTTTCATAGCTGCCCTGCAAACTGAGAGACGCAACAATTATTTTTCTACTAATAACTTTGTAATTTTGAAATTATTAAAGAAAAAGTAAAATTATCATAAATTGCAATTTATTTTTACCTAAACATTTCAAATGCTTTAGATCGATTTCATTAGGCTCTGCAAATACGCTTATCAAAAATAGACTCACAAATAATAAGCCTCTCATCTGCAACAGGTAAAAAATTCTGGATTTTATATAATATTTCTCTCAGAAAGATAAATTTACTCATTATGCCATTTTTATATACAATTCAAAGAAAAACTATTTACCTTATACATAAATTATTATGCAACTTATGATACACTTTTAATTGTATAATATTTTTTTACAATGATATATATCTAAGATTTATATCAACTACAATATGCGACACGTGTACTGTACATTTTCCGAATTATAGAATCTTATCAAATTCTTATAAGCGAATGACAATTCGCAACGTGTAATTCCTGATAGTGCCAACTGTTTAACCCAAAATAAACGCTACAATAATTATTTTTCTATGTCAAAAATTAATAAAAGTTGAATTGATGATAGAACAATATAAATTCGACATCAACAATACATACATTGGTTGGCTATTCATTCATTTTATTATTTTACAAAGATATAAAATTAATATTGAAATGTTGTTAGTGACTGGTAATCTAACCTAATTTTTAGTTTAGCTAGTTTATATCAGAAAAAAAAATTTTCGTCAACTTCCGCTTACATTTGAATTATGATAATTGCATTATTTTTAAACAATACAGTTAAAAAATAAATGTTTTAAAGATAAAAAATAGCTTTTTTTATATTAAACATCTAAATAATAATATTAAAAGAATTTTTTGTTTAAATATTAAATATTTAAAAAATTCTTTATTAGCATCCAATTTTGTCATATGCAACATTTTATGTCCAATAAAACCAGTTCAGGATTTTTTAGGAAAAATTGCATAATGTAAGTTTTACTTGATCAGTTGTTGCAGAATGGAGCTGTATACGTTCAACCTATTTTGATTTTTATTAGTAATGTAATAATTTTCATCACTATTCATACCACATGGTTAGTGATTAATGTAATTGATTCTCTTCCAAACGTGCGCACAAAGAAATTAAAACCTGTTACATATTATTACATTGTAAGCTATTACATCAAAGAAATATCTTGTCAGTGTCTAAGCTAGACTTGCTATTTATACTGGTTCTCTCCTTTCACTATATATGATAAAGTTCGTTGAAATTATATCACGTTTGGTGCAAAAGAGTTAGAGTTTACTAATGGCAGTTTACATACAAGCACAAATGTCAATCTAGAACAGTTCATATAAAATATGTGCAAGCTATAGAAGAAATTCATAGCTTTTTGTATAAATATATCAAATGTAATATTACAAAATACATAAACAATTTTCTATCTTATAATCTCATTCATTTACACAACTAAAAAACCTAAACCTACTTTCATAATTTATATAACTGCGATTTTTTATTATAAAATTACAATAGCTAAGTGGAGACCACCAAATTGAAACAGATAAATATTAAAACTTTCAGATATTTATCAGGGATGCAATTTATCGAATGTATATATATGTATTATAGATACGTTTGTTAAAAAATTTTTAATCCCTATAAATAAATCAGTTAAATTGTCTTTACATTCAAATTATTGCAAATATACATGCAAAGGCACGTCTTCTTTGTCATAAAATGAATAAAACAAATTTGAATAAAATCAATGATCGCGATTCCATCTCCAAATAGTCGCGTCATCGCAGACGCACAATAATACGGAGCCGTCTCGACTTAAGCTAGTTTGGCGGATCGGTGCAGTGCAACGAGGATGCTGGAGAGACCAGCAGCGCGCTTGCCCAGGTTCTTCCATGTCCAAATCCCAAACGTAAGTGCGACCGACCTGATTACCTAATGCGATTGTGCGTTGCCAGAAATCCATGGAGAAACGTATAAACCAAATATCGCATTCCTTAAACTCGAAACGATGCATGACTGTCGCGCTCGTTTCTCCGTTACGCAATTGCGAATCCTCGAGTCTACCCGGTTTCCAACACACAATGCAGTTCTCGCAGGATTTGCTGAGAATAAAATCACCGAACCATTTCACGCAATCGACATAGTTTCGATGAACATCGCGAGTGGTAAAGTCTGGAAAATGTTGGAGTATCGAATCGAAAGGTCTGCCGTTACGGCTGGGGTTGCAATGATAGGACTGCTTTATCGCCTCCTGCATGTCTGGTTTGATTAGAGACCATAGCTTGAGAGCGTGGTCCATCCCGCACGAAATGATTCGTTGACCTCGTATGTCGAAATCGGCGCTCAGTACTTCGTCACGATGTCCCTCCACGCCACCAAAAATCGCGATGCACACATCTGTCTTGATATTCCATAGTCTTAAAGCGTGATCCTTCGATGCAGACAGCAATATATTTGGATCCTTCGGATGAATCTTTAGCTCGTTTATCGCATGTCCATGACCAATATAGTGTTTGATGCAGGTCATTGTCGAGGGATTAATAATTCGTATGACTCCGCGTGAACCGGCCACGGATAATAGAGGCTTCCCGGAGTCATCGTACGTCCAAGCGCAGGTGTAAAAATTTTCCTCCGTATCGGGATCGGCATAACACTGTTGCAGTCGTATATTTCCACTTTGCGGGCACTCGTAAATGCTCACGCGATTACTGCCCACAGAAGCGAATATCAACGGCTCGCCCTCCTTCAAATTATAATTAAATTGCACGCCAAATAATGGTTGACCGTGATCCTCCTTAACGTTACAGCAATATTTGTATAATGGCTTGTCTGTAGAAGGCTTGTATTTGACAACTAAAAAACCTAAACCTACTTTCATAATTTATATAACTGCGATTTTTTATTATAAAATTACAATAGCTAAGTGGAGACCACCAAATTGAAACAGATAAATATTAAAACTTTCAGATATTTATCAGGGATGCAATTTATCGAATGTATATATATGTATTATAGATACGTTTGTTAAAAAATTTTTAATCCCTATAAATAAATCAGTTAAATTGTCTTTACATTCAAATTATTGCAAATATACATGCAAAGGCACGTCTTCTTTGTCATAAAATGAATAAAACAAATTTGAATAAAATCAATGATCGCGATTCCATCTCCAAATAGTCGCGTCATCGCAGACGCACAATAATACGGAGCCGTCTCGACTTAAGCTAGTTTGGCGGATCGGTGCAGTGCAACGAGGATGCTGGAGAGACCAGCAGCGCGCTTGCCCAGGTTCTTCCATGTCCAAATCCCAAACGTAAGTGCGACCGACCTGATTACCTAATGCGATTGTGCGTTGCCAGAAATCCATGGAGAAACGTATAAACCAAATATCGCATTCCTTAAACTCGAAACGATGCATGACTGTCGCGCTCGTTTCTCCGTTACGCAATTGCGAATCCTCGAGTCTACCCGGTTTCCAACACACAATGCAGTTCTCGCAGGATTTGCTGAGAATAAAATCACCGAACCATTTCACGCAATCGACATAGTTTCGATGAACATCGCGAGTGGTAAAGTCTGGAAAATGTTGGAGTATCGAATCGAAAGGTCTGCCGTTACGGCTGGGGTTGCAATGATAGGACTGCTTTATCGCCTCCTGCATGTCTGGTTTGATTAGAGACCATAGCTTGAGAGCGTGGTCCATCCCGCACGAAATGATTCGTTGACCTCGTATGTCGAAATCGGCGCTCAGTACTTCGTCACGATGTCCCTCCACGCCACCAAAAATCGCGATGCACACATCTGTCTTGATATTCCATAGTCTTAAAGCGTGATCCTTCGATGCAGACAGCAATATATTTGGATCCTTCGGATGAATCTTTAGCTCGTTTATCGCATGTCCATGACCAATATAGTGTTTGATGCAGGTCATTGTCGAGGGATTAATAATTCGTATGACTCCGCGTGAACCGGCCACGGATAATAGAGGCTTCCCGGAGTCATCGTACGTCCAAGCGCAGGTGTAAAAATTTTCCTCCGTATCGGGATCGGCATAACACTGTTGCAGTCGTATATTTCCACTTTGCGGGCACTCGTAAATGCTCACGCGATTACTGCCCACAGAAGCGAATATCAACGGCTCGCCCTCCTTCAAATTATAATTAAATTGCACGCCAAATAATGGTTGACCGTGATCCTCCTTAACGTTACAGCAATATTTGTATAATGGCTTGTCTGTAGAAGGCTTGTATTTGGCTGTTTTACTTCTGCGACGACCCTTTCGTCTGTAACGAGCGCTTCGAGTAGGTGTATCGCTACGATGAGTGCCAGCGGTAGAATTACTCCCGATACTGCATTCAGTTACATCACTGTCATTCTCACTGTCCTCCTGGCTAGAGGCATAGGCTTTACCAGTTGATTTTTTCATCTTACAATATATAAGCTCTAGTTTTAGCGACTTGAGTAATATTGAAATTGGAGGAAAAACGTAGACAGTATTACATTTAGTCTTTAAGTAGAATACAGTGTAAATCATCAATACGAGTCATTCTATACAGTATCTCGTTGTGCATTTTAGGTATATTGTGCCACTGTCCCAATAACTGGTATACCGCTATTTAATCCCAATATTCCTTCCATTATATTAAAAATCCTGCTCCCTAAATAGATACAGGATTGCATATCCTGAAATAAAAGATAGAATTTTAGATATAAATGCTTGAGTAAAATAATTGTAATAAAAAAACTCCGATAATATACATAAAAATTCTTACAAGAACATTGGCAGAGAGGAAACGAATATTGTACTTGTGACAAAGTGCTTTTGATTTATGAATCAATCCCATAACATTACACATTCCATTGCAATTTACTAAACAAGTTGCACCAGAGATTATGTAGTGTTCATCTATTATGGCTATATTAGCTTCTATCTTAAAAATTAATGATAATTACTAAAGTGATTAATAATAATTGACTAATAGTAATTAATAAATAACAAAAAATAATAACAATAAAATAATACACTAAAAATATGCATGCACATGTATAAAAGAAGACTTACTTCTGATAAGGCATGCGCAGCCCTTAAGTCGGAAGCAAAAATAATAAAATCTACAGAGATATCTATTTTTGCTTTTACAACATCAGCAATAGATTCGCACAAATGCACAGATATGTTCCATCTCCTCTCTCTTGCATTCTGATGTAAGCCTTCTGATATTTTGTGACATAATTCAGCCGGTCCTACTATCTGTAAAAATATATTTTATATCAGAAATATATTTATATAGCAGAAATTATATATTAAATATTGCTAAAATGTCCAGTAAGTTATAATACACCTGGCAAAAAAATGATTCCTCATGCAACCTATCAAAAAAGTTTATTTTACATTTTTTATTTATATTTTTCCACAAGAAATTATTTTGCCAATTTTTACTATCATTGACTGGACCATATTAAATATATTATCCATCTCTTTATATATAAATTTTATTATTTAAGAAGTAACAAAATAAAATAGCTTAATTAAACACAAGAAGTAACAAAATAAAATAGCTTAATTAAACACATAATTACAAACTATGATAATTTTTTGAATGGTGTAACTTAAATTATAAAAAAAAAGATTAAACATTATTTTTTGTCAATATAACATATTTACACATTCTCTCAATAAAATCGAAATAAATGCCATTTATATGGTGAATACAATTTAGAGGAAATGGATTAAAAAAATCAATTAGTTTAGAATACAGCATCAACCGTATTTCATGCTGTATCATAAAAAAAAGAAAGAACATTTGTCTTGTTTTCTTCTTATTCATGATTAATAAAAAACAGTCTAATGATAATTTTATTATTGAGAAACATATGTATATGAACGAAATTTTAAAGATCAAAACATATGTAAATCCATCGCAACACAGCTGAGAGCGTAATTTTCACTTTTTTCTTGGAAAAGTATAAAGTACACAAAAATACAAATAAATAACGCTATTTTATGATTTCTTCTTCTTTAATGCCACAAACTTACCATGAAAGCAATCAAACACTCACTTCTCCGCACTCTACCGCTCCTGAAGATTTCAGCCATGGTTGAGATGCCACTGCTAGACGGTTGGTAAGAAGTTCCACCGCAAACGCTCTTTAATTTTCAGTGCGTCATCATAAAATCTCAATAGAGATTCTAGAAATTCTCTATCCCATAACCAATCAGGAAACTGGACAAATGTTTTGTCGTATATAAATAATCAAAATTAATATTTCATTTGCCATATGAGTTTGTCAGACGTACTGATTGGCTGCCGAATAGAGAATTTTCTAAAACCCCGAAATTTTCCTCCAATCAGCACATTCAGCAAAACGTTGTATGACGAACATTAAACAAACTCGTTCGATTGTATATATCTACGAGTGAAATATTGGCCTATTATAATGTCTAATGCAAAATATTAAAACATATAAACACAATATGCAAATTAACGTGATTTTCGTATTAGGTTAGGTATTAGAGAATATTTAAGTTTGAATTAGAATTGTGCTGTTTTTTTGGTAAGAGAGAGAGAGAGAGAGAGATAGGGAGAGAGAGAGAGATAGGGAGAGAAGAGAGAAAGAGAGAGAGAGAGCGAGAGAGGAAAGAGAAAAAGAGAAAGGGGTGAGAAGAGAGAAAAAGAGAGAAGAGAGAGAAGAGAGAGAGGAGAGAGAGTGATAAGAAAGGAGGGAGAGAGAGAGAGGAGAGAGAGATATACTATAGATTTAACAATATTTACTTTCGATTCGTATAAATATTTTTCAGAGAAATAAAAAAGAGAGTAATCGAATAATGCGGCCATTATCAGCGTGAAAAAAAATCGCATTTTCTAAGGGTCATCCACAGTTTGATTTGATATATATACGAATTGAGCAATTTACTTTTTACAAATTCGAAATGACATCTAATATTGCGTCAAGTGACAATTGGAAATTAAAGCGTATTCTGGGAACTGGAGGCTTTGGAATTGTTGAACTTTGGGCACATGCTCAGACTGGCGAAAAACTCGGTAAACCACAATATAATTATAAATACATATTTCAAATTATTCATATATTGTTTTGCAAAAGATTCTCTAAGGGAAAAATTGATATTAATCTAAAATTAATAATTATGATTTTAGCAATAAAAAAATGCAAATGGAATTACTCACAATTAACTCCAGTGCAACGAAAAAGATGGGCTAATGAAGTTGATATAATGAGACGTTTGAGGCATCCAAACATTGTGAAAACAGGATGTGTCCCATTCAAGCTTCCAAATGTGGAAGAAAACCTGACAGTCCTGTGTATGGAATATTGCAAAAAAGGAGATTTAAGAAAAGTTGTATCTTAAGTTATTTGCCTTATAAATTCCATTTCTAAATTTTATTACTAATAAAATAATTACAATATATACTTCCTCTTACAGATTTTAAATCAACCAAAAAATTGTTGTGGAATTGTTGAAATAGAAGCAATCAAGATAATGACTGAAGTTTCATCAGCTGTGGAATATTTACATTCACATAATATAACTCATCGAGACTTAAAACCAGAGAACATAGTCTTACAAGAGGAAAATAATATAGTAAGATAATATAGTTTCAATGAGTCACTTCTTTATTGAAAATTATTAACAAGTTATATGATTTTATATAAATTATATATATTACAGCTGTCATATAAATTGATAGATCTTGGATATGCTAAAGAACTTGGAGAAATGAGTACATCTGCTTCTTTAGTCGGCACACTAAATTACATTGCTCCAGAACTTCTCTGGAAAGAGAGATACAGTTCCTCTGTTGATTACTGGAGTTTAGGAATATTGTTTTATGAACTTTTAACTGGAACAAGGCCATTTTTACCAACAATGCAACATACCATGGAATGGTAAAAAGCTAGAAATATAATGTAATGGATAAAGCTTATAAAAAATAGTATATGTTGAATTATAAATTTAATGTAACTTTTTGCAGGATGGAACACATTCAGAATAAAAGCTATGATGATATTTATGCCTGTGAAATGGAAGGAAAAGTCGTTTTTGGGAAAGATATTCAAAATCCAACTTACTTATCAAAGTAAGAATATGTTGTGTACACTCCTTGTAATCTAACAATCTTGAATGCGTAACAAATGTGGTGTTAAAATATTTCATTTTATAGAAAGTAAAAATAATGTGTTGTTATGCATCTTTTTTGTTTGAGAGATATGTTTTTTATATATATCTAATATTTTTATATTTCTTCCTACAAGTTGTCTCCGTAACAAAATGGTTCAATGGTTCAGACTAGTTTTACAATGGAATCCACATAAAAGAGGTAGAATAACCGACGAATCCGGTACATCCCATTTGGTGGTATTTACAATGTTGCAACATGCATTATCAAACAAGGTATGTATGTGTAGAAGCTTAATACATTTTATTCTTGTTTTTTCTCTTTTAATCTGTATTTTTTGCATATAGATAGTATACATTTTCTGCGTGCCTTTTTACAAGATTAATACATACGAGATTGATAATGCTACTACTATCAGAGATCTTCAGTTATTAATAGAAAAAGATACTAATATCGAAGTCAAGCATCAAACACTAACAAATTACAATGGTGTTATGCTTACTGAAAGTACTGCATCAGTCATTTCGCAAATTAAGGTATGTATATTTGTCATTTATATATGATGATACACAAGGTAAAACATTATCTTTAAATCTATTACAATTTTGTTGTAGGATCACATTTTCTTTCTCTTCAGAAATGGATGTTGTTTAATAGAAGATGCACCTAAATCAAATATTCCTATAGCAGTGGAAAAAATGATAATACAATCAAAAAATGAATTAAATTATGAAGTATTGAAAGATTATTACCGCAATGCGATATACTTCGCGACTAAAGAAGTGAACTTATTTCAATTATACGTTTTTGCTCTTAGTATAAATATGTAAGTCCTTTACAACATATTAATTGTTTCATCCATATATATATTTTTACACAATTTATAAATTATAAAAATATATAGTATTACATAATGTAACATATATTTAACATATTCCAGAGATTTATTGCATCAAAAAATTGATGTGTTTAATACAAACATGGAAATGACATTGGAAAATACAAAGGCCCTTATAAATCAAGTGCATACAATTCGTATTAAGTATATGAACTTGATGGGCGAAGACGCGATTGATAGAAGAAAAACACAGACCTATTTTAATAAAGTTGATAAATTAGTTAGTGCAGCCGATCAAATAAAGATGCAATTTATGTCTTTGAAAAAAGATAATGATAAATTGAGAAATAAAGCTCAAAGTATCGATTATATGAGGGATTTATCAGAATTGTAAGTAATGAATATTATAAAATATTTTGTCACATATTTTGATATTCTTAAATTTTTTTTTTTATATAGATATGATAAGATGTGTGATATATATTTGGAATTCAAAAAAGAAAGTCCTTATAAGACAGCAAAGCCACTAGACATGGTAAAATTAGTGTTTGCATTCTTGACTACACGCGAAGTGTTACTGCATGATAAAAATATAATCGACATTATAAGGTATTAAAAGTTTTATTTTATGACTGATTTTATGCATCGTTAAATAAAGATTAAAATATTCTCTACTCTAATCTAAGTTTTTACTTTTATAACAAATGCATATATATTTTCAATAGGCAAATAGATCAATTAAATGATGGATTGTTGAAGCTGGAAAAAATATTTGATTCTGTTACCGTCATGACGAAATTATATTGGAAAGAATATCAGTTAATCGCACAATCGGATGTATCTCCTCAGCGGTCTAACAATCAATCCTTGAATATTTCTACCACTGAGCTAGATAAGATTATCCAATCAGAAGACAATGTAATATATGATAACTTGGTCATACGTTACAGGTAAGTTTTCTCCAGTTATAATATTGTTCAATTTTCAGGACAAATTTATTTTAGGTTCTAATTTTTTAGGATAGACAAATTGATGGTTGAAATGCAGAAAAAATGTGACAAAATAGTTAATTTGGAACTATGATTAAAAATATAGAACGCACACATATTTTAATTTCCATATTTTAATGTATTTAATGGAAATCCATTCATCTTAATGTACGTGGAACATAATGCCGCACGCCCCACTTGATATTGGCATGTTTATCGGTTTTAACGAACGTGTAAACTGGCTTATTTAGCAATTGTTCCGATTTTATTATTTGATATTTATCGTTCCGACCTAGAAATATATTTATTTTAGAATTTTCAGTTATTTTCTAAAAAAAGAGTACATTTTTTTAAATAAATTTTTTTCATGTAAAAGAAGGGCTTTATATATACATATATATAAGTTTATTTACAAACATTCTATAACATATTCATTATATGTTATAGATGTAATGATGTGTAAGAAATATAGATATTTTTATTACGTAAAATATATATAAAAAAATAAAAAAAAATAAAAATAGCGGCTGTGTTACTAAAAGCGTCAACGGAAAATAATGGCACCACTCTCGATGATGCATTTTCTCGATGAAAAGCACGGAAAAAGAGAAGTAGCGACAAAGAGACATACGAGAAAAAAAAGATCCTAGGAAATCCAAAGTCAGTCAAACACGACTCCGCGTTTGAATCCGCATTTGCATTGTCACTCTCGCTTTATATTTTGCGTTCTCGTTAGATTCATCTCGCGGAAGGTCCTAACTTCAGTAATTTCAATTTTAGATTGTTCGGAATTGTTGAAATATAGTTTTGCATGGATCAGACAATGCTCTCGCAACTCCACGTTTTACATATCCAGTTTCCACATACATGATTGGCTATCACGTGGCTATTTGATTGACAAGCAAGCACCAGATGTATTAGTCATCTTGATCAAATTCGCAATTGTCTACAAATTGCCATTTTCTATTTTGATCAATAAATCAAATTAGCACATGAGAGATATGCAATATTTTATATTTTCTGCACTCATGTACATAATTTTGATTATATATAATATTATAACAAAATTTTTATAAAGTAAAAAAAAAAAAAAAAAAAAAAAAAAAAAAAAAAAATAGCGGCTGTGAAAAATATATATAACATATGATGAATTTTATATACAATATGTATATATTTAATT